TCTCCATGGGCAATTATCGATTAAATTGAAGAGTTAAGATTGGAAAGTATCAATTAAATGGGAGTTATTATCTATTAATTGGGAGATTTATCGATTAAATTGGGTATTCATCAATTAATCGGTGGAACTATAGATAAAACTGGAAACCTATTACATTTAAAGGCACGTGTTAATAAGAACCCTTAAGTAACAGCTAGCACTCTTTTTATTAACATCAGAGCACTTCTCATTAATACCGAACACTACTAAAATGAAACTCATTTACTTAATATAGTCTTTCAATTAACATCAATATTCTCTAATAAACACCAAACTAATTATTTCATATTCTGACACTCTTAAATCAACAACAGAAACTCTTTAAATGCACATCAAATACTTTTTAATATACTGTACATCAGCCACTTTATGGAACACTGAATCACTCTTTAATTAACATCGAAAAGTAAACATTAAACATTCTACGGAACATTAACCACTCTTTAATTAACATCGAAACGTAAACATTAAACACTCTACGGAACATTAACCACTCTTTAATTAACATCGAAAAGTAAACATTAAACATTCTACGGAACATTAACCACTCTTTAATTAACATCAAAAAGTAAACATTAAACACTCTACGGAACATTAACCACTCTTTAATTAACATAAAAAGTAAACATTAAGCACTCTACGGAACATTAACCACTCTTTAATTAACATAAAAAAGTAAACATTAAACACTCTACGGAACATTAACCACTCTTTAATTAACATCTAAACATTAAACACTCTACGGAACATTAACCACTCTTTAATTAACATCGAAACGTAAACATTAAACACTACGGAACATTAACCACTCTTTAATTAACATCAAAAAGTAAACATTAAACACTCTACGGAACATAAACCACTCTTTAATTAACATAAACGTAAACATTAAACACTACGGAACATTAACCACTCTTTAATTAACATAAAATGTAAACATTAAACACTCTACGGAACATAAACCACTCTTTAATTAACAAAACGTAAACATTAAACACTCTACGGAACATAACCACTCTTTAATAAACATCAACCACATTAGGGAACATTAACAACTTTCTAATCTCCACGAAAACCAGGTCTTCAAAGGAGCCGACAAGGGTATAGTGAAAGCTTTTAACTCAGTCTGATTGCACACTGCGAACGGTTCTCCCGGCTATGACTTAACGAGCGGTTCTATTAAACTAGCGTGGGGCTATTGTTTATTGAGGTCTACCCGAGTTCACAATTGTCTTATATTGCGTTTGAACAATTAATCTTAATTTACGTATTCTTTTGTTTAATACAGCTTAAATATTTCAACAACATATATCCATAATTTAAATTACTAGGCGAAATAGGATATTAATAATAGGTTAATCAGCTATTTCTTTCAATAGCTAACAAACTATTATCAACATAACCCACATACGTGATTTGAGAAAAATTGATTGACTAGACAAATAATTATTGGTGCTACTACAGCGTGTGGTCTACAAAATATTTAGGTTAGGTTAAGTTAGGTTAGACTAAAGATATCTTTGTAGACCGCACACGACTATGGCGCGTCACACTACCCTCCCTTCACTGACAGTAGCATTTCCCCTGTTCACTTAGCATCGTTATCACCTGTACTTCCCACTTACTTTCTATCAATAACAAAACCAGTACCTACTCACTGAGTGTCACTTGGTTACATTAGGGAAGGAAGCGGGGAAATTACGCACTGGCGACTAATGACATCCTGAACATCATCAAAGTCTTCGTACCTTTACTGTCTTTATCCCAGCAAGATCTAATGATTAATTTGACTTCATTCACAGTGATTTTGTGTACACTTATATTGAAATTTTGGTATTCCATCAATAATGAAATTATACGAACACTCGTTCTTCAACAACGGAGAGGTCAATTACAGGGGATACCAATCTCGCGAAAGGTGGCTAAATCTAGATTTCTATTCTTGTTTGCTACTTTTTAACGCCCTTCGCGGCTAGCGAATTTATTCATAGAATGTTGCCATCACTTAGCGGATTTATATATAAACCTGAAGATACTGTGTTTGTCATTAAAATTAAGTTCACAGCTTAGTATTATAAGGTAAAGAGGTTCATTAAAATCACGAATAGTTCGTGTTCATTGCTACAGGGACAGCGCTGGGTGGTCGACTCAGATGCAGTCAGTAGGGTTGTCAATTTAGCGATTTTATCCCTAGATTAAGCGACTTTAATTAGCTAGTTTTGGGAGTTTAGCAACTGTCATCTTTTTGTATAATTTAACGAGTTTTGTCATCAAAACTAGACAAAAAAATAAAAAATAAGCAGTAAATAAAGTTCAAGACAGTAAAAAAAAGTAAGGTAAGTCGTCTCGTCCAACTGAAGGAATGCAAACTTCCAGATGTAACAGACATTCGCCAAAGATGTATCCATATTGCTATCTAACTTATGAAGCAACTGCGTAAAAGTTTACCCGACAATGTTCGTGTGTTGCAGTCAGCGTCATCACTAAGTAAAAATGAATGTATACAACCAGTAAAACCAAGGAGTCTGGACTTGGTTGTTTGTTGATGAAGGTATTCTCACTCGTATAGACTATGTATGGAGGAAACTGCATCACAGTGTGGGAACAAGTCCTTGACAGTCTACAACTTTGGTTAGAAGTAGCCGATTACATTGATGCCACAGGAGAGTCTTTATAGTGATCTTTCTGACCGAGCTCTAACAGTACTCTCATTTCCACATTCAAAAGCCGATAAACCTCGCAGTCATAACTCCGAAACTGAACTAGTGTAAATATGAAAGCAATTTTAGCCATAAAATATGGGCTACGGTGACAGAAAATGCTGTCATAACTATGAGTTGCCTGAGCGTGTCACAAGGAACATTGGCACACTGGAGGCTTAAAAGACCTCGTTGCAAGGAAATCGCTCACCAGAACCTGCAACATCCAGCAATGCCATCGAGGAAGAAGAGCCAGACTAGGAGATTTATCATAATCACCACGTCAGAGTACTGGTACGGATTGATGTTGATGACATAATTTAGTAATGAAGACTATATTTTCTTGCATATTTAACAGCCGAGGGGCTCCATAAGCTAAATCACATCTAACTTTAGCCCAAATAGATTTAAATAGGGCGGTGCCAGCAGTGAGTGTTAATATCCGTGAGTGCGAATATAATGATGTGCATTATGTAAATTGACCTGTGATTATTGTCGATTTTATTATTAGTTTCCTTCTAGCCCTTTTTTCACCTTACCTACTTTTGGGGTGAATCTAGCAACATTTAGTTAGCAAGAGTTGACAAACCCTGGCAAGCTAATTAAGCTAACTTAATCATTAATCACTCGTCCAGTGAGGAACTGATGATAAACAGACGAAAAACAAGTTGGAATTTAAATTTAAAAAACTTGTTATCCATAATTGTTTTCATAAGATGAACTTTTCTGTTTCAAATTTCTTGCAAGATTCAATTAGTTACATATTTCTTTACTTTAGATGGGCATTAATAACGTGTTCTGAAACTTGACCCGGTGAAAGAAGGATAATAAATAGCTTGACCCTGTTTATAATGACAATCACCAGACCATGAACTAAGTTTTTCAATATCCTGCTCTCACTCATTACCTATGGGAAAATCCTGTCCTGGTCTTATCATGTACAATACATGATACATCTTCTCAAGTGCCTCTGTTATGAAATTTTAAGGACAAGTTAGGCCTCACAACACTGCTTAATAACATAGAAGAGTATGGATCAAACTCATATCTACTGTACTCATTGCTGTGTTTTGGTGGTCTAAAGATCAAGGTCACAAGTTTGATAAAGGCAAAAACCATTTCAGATGCACTTAACAACAACTACGTATACACTTACGGGTAAAAATTATAAACCTCTATAGCCAAGCTTATTCAATATATCCAAACATCTGAAGTATCAAACAGCACGTGGTTCTCACTTTATGATAAGGTAACCACAGTGGGTTATAATGTAGCTAAAATATCCAAATAATTTCTAGAAACTCTGACAACATAACAATTACAATATCCATTAACTTAGAGATGTGTTCTCTCATCAACAAATCCTGCTGCACTTAAAAAAGCACCCAGTATTTATTTCAGTTGCAGAATTTACTCAATGGGGACCCAGTATGAATCCTAAGTGACTTTTTTATTTATTTTTAGTCTGACTCCAGTAATCTGTGTCATCCTTGCACCTCACCTGGGAGCTGCTTCTAGATCCTGCAAGGAGCCTAACCAGTTAGTGAATCCTTAATATAAAAAAAAGGAAACACTTCTCACAAATATATATATATATATATATATATATATATATATATATATATATATATATATATATATATATATATATATATATATATATATATATATATATATATATATATATATATATATATATGTAAAAAAAAATTCTTTACCATCAGATGGTCACAGCACAAAATTAGTCTGTTGTGTGGAAGCACAAGTACTGTACTGTACTGTAACTGGCTCTGAGGGTCTCATGCCTTGGACATATATTTGTGTCATAAATATGGGTACCATACTGCACAGTACACAATTATGTCCACTGTCTAACATTAGCTCCTTCGCTACAAGACACTACTTTTAATATTTTATCTGGTTAATGCCAAAAGATTTTATTCACCAAAGAGACTCCTCATAACCAAGGGGTTAATACACCCCTACAGTACTGTTTTTCATGGATAATTGAATGCAACTATATATTCCAAAAAGGAATGTAAGACAATTCCTGACTGGTATATTCCTTGCAAGGCATAAGTGTACAGTAAATCCCTAGGGGACAGGGCATCTTTTCATTTCAAATATGTACTGTACTATACATTTATAGTACAGTACTAAAAATCCATTACCCTTGACGTCCAAATGTACCGGTAGCCCTACATGTTGTAAGCGATTTACACACTTGTGTATGAGAATTTAAAGGAAATCAAAATGCCATTGTCAACTGCAACACATTTTAATTCATGTCTGATGTCCATTGACTGTTTATGACAAGTGTACCAAATGCACTTGTTTGGATTAGTCAAACTATACAATAGTTTTAATGAGTTAGGGAGAAAAACCTGTACAATTGTACTAAATAACCTTACAAAGTTTGCTCAGTTCATGTCTATCTGCTGTCAAAAATGGTATGGGTACTGCTATGTCAATTTAATACCTGTACCTGCATAGCAAATATAGTAAATTCAATTTTTTTCCAAAATGTATTCAAAATATTTGGATTAAATATTGCATCTGTTTTTACTGTATACTACAGTACTGTACACATCCTTACAATAGTGATTTGAACAAATTTAAAATTGTGCCTGTATTTCCAAACTCTTGAAATTCTAAAAAAAACACAGGATGATTTCTAAACCACATTAGTACAACATACTGTACACACTCTGTATACATTGCTATGCAAATAAAAAACTTGTACAGTTATGGAAATGTGTTCCTACACCCCCTGTGGTAACCTACAGCAAATCTATCCACAACTAATATCTATTCATTCATAAATAGTGATGCAGTACTACCCGTACTATTGCAATGTTGCCATTTGGAGACGAGAGTTATTCCAGGAGATGTAGGAACACATTTCCGCAACTGTAACATAATAAAGCATGAAACTTGGTGACGTTGTTAATAAAAATCATAATATTTGGTCCAGTTGAAGTACAAACTCACATATACGTACTTCCTTTGATTCGTTTACTATTGGATAAATATTTGGTATGGTGTTCTTTGTTTAACTGATGAGCAAAAATTAAAAGGTTTTAAAGTAACCGCATGTATATTTGTTTATCCTTACCCCAAAATTCTCATAAGGGTTATTGTGTTATACACATACAGTACGTTAAATATAACTGTCATTTAATTCAGCACTGTAATACACGCAGATGATTTTTTTAAACTTTTATTGCGTATGATTCATCTATCAAGTTATGATAGTACAGTACTGTGCAGTACTGTATATTACTACCTGTATACACATTACTAACCACAACTATCATTCTCTCGGCAAATTTACACTAATTATTCACATACACGTATGTACCAAAATTTCATTTATCCTTGGGCTAAGATTCACCTGTACACCACTGCACATCATGCTTTCCATCTTCTGCACATGCAATGCATCACAGGAAAACCAGATCTCTGGAGCCATGTACTGTACTGTAAAAATGCCTCCAGAACACCAGCCATTACTTGTGTACCATTCCTAGACTGTGTGTCTTAGCCAGTAGCCACTATACCTTACCTCTTGTCTGGGGAGCAAATATTAAAGCATAAATAAGAGAATAACTTTTAGAAGACTGGTTTGTCATCCCTAATAACATTCTAGGTCACCCTGTGCACCACAATGGCATGTATCCCAACGTTCAAGTCAGGCAATCTAACGTCACTTACTTCTTTGAAACAATGGGTCAGGGAGGGGTAACAATAATTATACTAATTCTATCTGAGGTAATCATTCATGCAGTGGCTTGATACCACTGAGGGCCCTACAACCCTCTGTTCAAGAGTACGCACAAAATCCTCCATGCCAGACTTTTTCTCATACAAAAAATAAGAGAATGTATTGGTGAGTAGAGTATAATGCTTAATACTGTACTGTTTTTTGTTTTTCAATACTATAACAGTACTTAATAATTAAATTACTAACAGTATATGTATGAAAACAATATACTGTAGTACAGAGTCATAATCAAAAGAGACTTCATTAAGGAAACCTATTTTTGTTTCTACGTATAGTGTACCATTATTTCTCTTATACATGTACTGTACCAGCCTTTTCTGGGGTTTTTATAGTAGTTCACACAACATTCCTACCCCAAATCTATTATCATATTTGAAAAAACTTTAGGATAATTTTCTTCGATTACAATACTGTCGGAAACGTATAATAACGGAGATAGCGCATGCCAAATCTTTCTCTATCTTATTCCATTAATCTTCCCTCATATGGTGAGAGTCTGGTTATGTAAAAACACTGTGAGTTAGGTTTGGTCAGGTTAGGTTAGGTCATCTATAAAAAGGTTAGGTTTATATGTTTTTCTTGTGTTTTTTGGTGCGTTTTGTACTGACTTGGCCATGATTTTTGACGGAAAATGATTGTTTCTCTACCCCGCCCAAAACTCCGGTTCCTAACAGGATCCCCTATCTTGTTGGGGGTAAAAGGAGCAATAAAAAATAAATAAATTTCCGACAGAAATCAAGGTCAGAACCAATCAAAAAAAAAAAAAATCACTAGAAAAACATAGTTTTAACTTTCTAACAGAGTTATGTGAACTACTATAAATTTACCCTTTTCTGTGGGTCACAACCCGATACAGTACAAATGAGGTCAACCTATAATTACATGAGTTAGTGATAAATGTTCAGTGTCATAAAATACGAATTTAATCTCTGGTATTTGGTAAATGTATGCATAATTCTCTACATGTTATAAGTTATATACTGTAGTTAATTTTCATTACCAACTATTAATGACATAGCCCCCTTCACTCACCTGACAGTAACACCCAAATTGAAGAACAAAATAGCATTCTTCAGGACTGGTGAGAGCACTGCCAGATTAAATGAAAGAACGAAATATCTGTCCAGATTACCGAGTAGATCCTACAGCATCCAGCGCTGGTCCACCCAACAACCCTCCATCTTGTGTGGTAGCCACTAATATCTGTCAGCTGCTTCCACTTTCCCATTGAATATATACTGTATATGAGAACTGAAGGATATCCCTCAAAGACCTAGAAAATGTACAGTACTGTACATATGAACAAGGGGGAAAGTTTGCAGCAATCATTGTGAGATCTCTGTTGTCCATAGCCCGCAAGATTCTCGGCCAAGTTCCCCTTAACAGATGCCTTCCCGAGCCAGAAAATTTCCTTTAGACTATCTTGCAGCACCACTGACATTTTCTTTACTGTCTACCAGATACACAAGAAGTGTAGAGAATAGCTCTGTGACCTGTACAGTGTACATGGCCTTTATTGATTCAGTCAACATGGAGGTCCTTAGTGGACACTCGGTTGTTTTGGCTGCCCCCTATAATTTATCAGAGACACAACTCCACAATGACATGCGCAGTAGTGTCCTACATAAAGGCACTCAATTGGAGTTCTCCCCTTTCCAAAGAAGGGTAAAACAAAGATTTTTTGGGGCTGCTATGGAAATATGCACCAGTACCTTACTGTAAATATGGTCCTACATGCTATCAAAACAGACCTGTTGCTATATTTAACCAAAACTTCTTTTAAATGCAAAATTAACCAACTAAACCAAACCTATCCAAACAAACTTAACTGAAATATAATCTATACTGTATATAGTTGCTGTACGGTATTAGGTTTGGTTATTCTATTAAACTCTAATGCAAACAAAGAAGTTCATGCAAAATACTGTACTGTATTCACTGTCTTATTATTACAGAGAACAGCAATTTAGCTTATGAATGATGACCATAGGTTATTAGTGTCAAATGTACAGCACTTCATTCTCCAAAAAATCCTTATGAATTTTGGATATGTTGAACTAATAAACTTCCGTGTTTACTAATCTGCAATACTGTATAAGATCAGAATATGCTATACTGTACTGTATTGTGATTTTTAATACTTCTAATTAATAGTTTTACCCTTTTCATTGTTTTTGATAAAGTAATTTTGACTTATTTATTATAATTTTGTTAATATCATAAAGTATAATCTTTCTGGAAGTTTTAAATTAGGCACAGGATATAGGTACAGCAGCCATATGTGAAACATAAATGTCTATTGATACAGCAACCTAATGCACATGCGTGGTGGGCAGACTAAACAATGATAGTTACCGTAATCGCCCTTAAGGAAAAAAATCATGCGATGACAGGATAAGGAGACCCAGCACGTGGACACGGAGAATATAATTCGGTCAAAACCTGTCAACAACAATTATTACACGTAAGTAAACATCATTTTGATATCACAATAATACAACTACATTGGGATATTCAGCACATTCCTTAACAAAGTGAACTTGACACAATAATACAATGGTGGGAATTCATGTATGCACTAATGTTCCATAAACAGACTTACGTGTTAGGGTCAAAGGAGAAATAGGGGTGTTCCCTGTACGGCTCCAAAGCGCTTACTGACCCTTAGAGCAGAGGGAACCACCGAGGCACTAGGCACCGTCTTGTCCTTATTAACAGATCGGCAAATTCCAGCGTCTCCCTTCTGTAAACACATGCCCGGCACCTTCACTCACTACCTCTCTCTCCACCTTCACGGGTCCGACTAATTACCCAAAAGTACCCAAATGTAGCCGCAATGAAGTCAAATAATGGTCCTACATGAATAAATCGGACTGCCAATCACTTCTCGACTGGTATTTGGTGTCACGAAGTCACAAAAAATTGGTAAACTTAATTTAATCTGAGTTAATAGATCAAGTGCATGTACCTAACCTAACACAACTCAGATTAAATTAAGTTTACCAATTTTTTGTGACTTTATGACACCAAATAATAATCGAGAAGTGATTCACAGCCCGATTTACGCTTGTACGACCATCATTTGACTTCATTGCGGCTACATTTGGGTAATTACTCGCTCCCTCGGTACATGCACGCGATCTATTAACTCAGATTAAAGTAAGTTTTCCAATTTTTTGTGACTTTGTGACACCAAATACTAGTCGAGAAGTGATTAGCAATCCGATTTATTCATGTAGGACCATTATTTGACTTCATTGCGGCTACATTTTGCTACATTTGGGTACATTTGGGTAATTAGTCGGACTGACCTTCATTACTCGGTAACCGCCGAAACTTAAATATCTACTGGTTCTTCTCATGGGCGGTAACAGTTACTAACCTAACCATTAACAACACTGTCCATCAATATGGCTGCTGTACCTACATCCACTATGTTTAATTTATCATTTATACCCCTTTTAAACACAACCCTTTTCAGGGAACACAGTATTACACGACTTAAATTTGTTATGATGTTATATGTACTACAATCACCCAATCAATTTACTGGTACCACTTATCAGCTTACTAGCCATTCAGGCAGTTGGTCTGTTCTTTGTTTTGACATTCATTGTCTAGTGTTAGTATAGGAGGAAACCAGAGTACCCGGAGAAAACCTTCAATGTTTGGTTGGGTCACACTGGTCAGCTCCCTTCTCACATCTGATCAAGGGGCTGAACCCAAGACAATCGTGAATGGCAAATGCATTAACTTTTCCCACTGTTAACTATAAAAACTATACATACCGGTAAAAGGTATTCTATTCTTGTCCCAAGGAATAAATAGATAAAGCCTCTCAGTTATGCTCAATGCATTATACTTATGACAGACAAAAGGATATCTATTCAGACAAAATCATCATATAGGTTTAACATGTACATGACTGTGTAGTCATACAAATAATGATAAACAATAACTTGATTTAACTGAGGATAGACCAATAAATATAACTAAAGCTATTCTCATTGAGGTGCTTAGATAATATTAAGTTTAAAAATCATTCATTTGAAAAATCACCATAGCTAGCTGGTCAACAGTGCCTGAATGTAGGTCAGTATTATGAATACCGTATTATGGTTCAGTAGACTATTTGTCAATATGAAAGAGATGTGGTAAAGAGGTTTAGCTGAACCTTGCACTGTCAATTGCCTAACTAACAAGATAACTGTTTAATTGTTTGATCCCAAGAGTCAGTCATAGGTGTTACACGTAGCTGAAAAATTACAACTTAAACGTCAATGCTTATGTAAGATTATTCTCAACAAAATGAAAAACCTTCAATACGTACGGTCTCCCACCACTGATGATGTCTCTCTCAAATTTTCTAACTACACTCCAAAGATTGCACTTGTTCACCGCTGTTGTAACACACAATAAGGGTCTGAAGATCCATCAATGTTTACATTTATTTAAAGTGTTGAAGACTACTACCATGTGGAGGTCATTCAGCTGTAGTATCACGTTATGACATATAAGGGATCCAACACCTAATGCTAAACACCCCCTTTCGTCCATGAACTTGAAATTAAAGAAAATGGGTAAGTTTTCTAACAAGTAGCTTCTGTAAAGTTAACTTGGCTATGTTTTATACTATTGTGCTGAATCAAAATCGTTCCTAAACATTATCAAACTATAACTGAATAATATTAACATTATATTTGTATCTTTAGTGGAGCTGTCATCAGGACCCAGTGTATTTGGGTCATTATCAGTGAGAACATGCTGCCTTGGTTTGAGTTTGATTTAACTGTCATATATTATATCTGCTTTGGTTAATAAATATATAAACACTTGGTCTATTCTTATCTTGTGTCAATATCGATTACGAAAAGTTCGGGAACATCTGCTTCCATTGGTAATCAAGTTGTTATAAGGGAAATACTCCGTTTAATATCGATAAAGAGTTTCGGAAACAACAACGCATCATCTCTTATAAATAGGTTCCATTAAGCATCGCGTCTCCTTAAAAGGTATTCAACTCTACTTCGGGTTGACTGGGAGCGACAATTCATGGTCATAAATTTTGTCTGCTAGAGTCTCAGTGTTTATTATATTATCCAAACATCTAACACTGACATGTATTAAGCTGTGCGATTTTCAGTGATTTATTAGGAATGTTGTAATCATGTCAAGCTTAAAGTTAGGTAAGTAAAGCATATTATTTGAAAGTGATATGTCTATGGCGTATTACTGGCGTTAAACGTGTCTAGACGGTAATTTTGAGGCGTGGGAAGATGCTGGTGTTTTTGTTGTCAGATGAATCACTCCACTCTGCTATTAGAGGTGTATGTTGCTTATTGTATTATTGTTTTTATACAATATTGTCACGATGTAATGTCTCTGGTCCCTTGAAATATGTAGAAGTTTGCTCACTTTTCTATATATGTTATGTGATTTACGTGTTAATCTTAGTTTAGTATATAGGGGGCGAATTTGACCTCTGGACATTATACTCGTGTACAGCAGCCCATTCATTCTTATATAGTCAGTAATGTTACGAGAAAATAATGATGACATCTGTAATGAATGAAATACACTGCTTGAGGAGATGTGGTGTGAGGTGATGCTTTGTCTTTATATAGAGATTTTAGGATTTTAAGTGTGTGTCATATTACTGGTGGAAGGTTGTGCTGTTAGCTGTATTGAAAACAGGATGATGCTTAATTTTATTCATAACAAAATTATAGTTAATTTTCCTGAAATTGTTTAAGACATGACAGTGACTCAGTAACTGGTGACACAATGAGGAATATGTTTAAGGAAGTGTAAAACCTAATTATCAGGGAAACCTTTATTGTTCCAGTCAGTCCACTCTTGGGATAGGTAAGGTTAGATTGGAATGATAAATTTTTTCCTTATAATTAAGTTTTACATTTGCATTCCAAAATTTTGTCAGCCATAAAGCCACTGCCTGAAAGCATTGACAAAATTGAGTGTTACTCATGAAATGCTGTGTTTCAGTACCGTAACTCGTTAATGAAGGCAAATAAAGGAAACAACAACATTGATCTTCAACGTTGGGCTACAAACAAAATTCAAATGAGTAAGTGATTAAAGGGACTTCATTATGTATTTTTTGGCACAAAATTCACAAATTTTACTTGTATGAACCATCAGATATCATTTAATTCGGATATTTTTCTCTAGGTATTTCCTTGATCAAGAAAATATGTCATAGTTTGGTAAATGTTAAGAACAGAGGCACCACTCTGCTGGGTTGTTTGGGGGTATTTTGTGTATAGACTACAATATTTGATACTTATATGTACCATGTAGGTAAGCGATCTGATGCTGGAACCATGAAAAAAAGGACATTAAACATGCTAAGGAAGGTTCAAGTAGGTAGTAGCCTCTGCACCATCAGCACTGTAACAGACTGACAAAGACCACGATCACAGAACTATATCCAGTTTTAGCAGGAATGAATAAGGTCCTTTTTCTAAAATTTGTTTTTTATTTGTCCATGGCTCCAACACCAGGTCCATTAACCACACGTACAAATAAGTAACACGTCTATACCACCTGTTTGATAGACGTAGCACATCACCTTTTAAGATGCCATTATGATGACTAAACTCTGAAACTTTTAACTAATCTTCATGATAAATCAATCTTTTGTACTTTTTTCCTTTTTCCAAGATGGTTCAGTAATGTATCATTATCAAAATTCCATAAAACCACTTGTATAGGTGTACCCGAGATACTAATATTTACCTACATTTATCATATTCTCCAAGTGACCGACTTTATAGACCTTATATATGACAATGATGTTCACTGTTAAGGAAGTCTAAAACATTTATTTTCAACTCATGAAAGGCAGTGACTTAAAAAACCAATGAACCAATGAAAAATACAAATGTACAAATTGAACAGTAAGCATAATTTTTTTCAAACCTACCAAGATTTTTGTTAAATGTTTGTCAGGATTAATTTTGGTAGAATAATTAATGTTTACTGTATCATCATGTTTCAATTTTGTATTCATCATTGTGTTGCTGTGTACAGAACTGTCACAGTCATTAAAATATTCGTTAACGTTTAACACTAGAATATCTAAGAAATTATTAGATTGGTACAGTAGCTGCCAGTGTTATACTATCTAGTACAGTACATTTGGATTTGATAATGCAACACAAGTTGTAATCAGACTAACTGTTTAGTTAACTGCTATTGTGCTCTTTTTTTGCTAATTTAGATCCATTGATTAAGAAGTATAGGTCTTTTAAGGTTGGATGCCAGATGTGAGGTTCAGGTGCCATTGTCTTATGTCGGATGATGATCTCCGTTGCTGGCACATACTTGAGATGCTATAAGGAATACAACTGGCATAGCTTATTCAAGATAAGCAATGTTGTTTGATTATGGCTTCTAATTTTTGCTTGGTATAGTTAGCTATTGATAATATCTTCTCCTTAATTCTTGCTGTAGTTTACATAATGCTAGGACTGCCAGCTAAACGTTTTTATCATGGATTAACCAAAGACAAAACTGCTGTTCACTGAATCAGATTTTCAATTTTATGGAGGCCCAAACTTAGATATTTTTTAATACAGTAATTAGATTGCAGATCATTTGGTGATGCTTTTAGATATATACAGGTATTAATGTGTTGGGTTATGGTACGTTAGCTCAGTCATATAATATTCACTGTGTCTTAGATATTATACCGTACGTTATAGCTATACAGTAGTGCTCTTGAGATTCAACCAAGACCTTATACAGTAGTTCTCATTTATTCACCTTTACCTTCCTGTTTGTTACTCTGAAAAAAGATTGGAAAACCCTTCTTGCAGCCTACCCAGGAGAGAATTGAACCTCACATTACAGAATTGTAGTGCTATTGACTATTTTATTATAAAGTTGAAACAGCAATCACATGAGAAACTTTAAACCAGTTTGGAAAAGGTGGAGGAGGTGTTCTGTAGGAATTATTTACTCGCCTCATATTGAAATAAATTCCAGCACTAAAAATTATAGTAAAAGTTGCATTGGTCTTGGAGTCAAGCCTCCACTCTGGTTTAAACAAATTGTTTTTTAGATATGCCCAGAAAGGCACACAATAAACCCAAATAATTAGTACTGTACTCAATAGTGTGATAATAATGTGTAACACGGAAAATCTGGCCAAGAAAGTAATTAAACATGGGTATTTGTATAGGGATGTAAGAAATTGCCACTGAAAATTAAATAAAAATCTGAACAAATACATGAAAATTAATGAAAGAATGTTCATTATCCCAAGTCATTATTTTCTAGAGGAAGAGAATGCTTTCCCATTAAAACAAAGAAGGTAACACTGACAGTTATGATGACATTTTTTGAACCTCAAACAGGGAAGGAGAAAATGACAGAACTCAAGGTCTGTGTAGAAGAGCAAGTAACTCACTGTGACATAAGTGCAGTAGAGTCACTGTGGTTGAGCATATCTTATATGAAACTACAGTATTATGACAACAGTGTGTTAGTTACAGCTACAAATCTGATTTTTAGAAGACTTCAGTCAATATGTATTGGCTCAGGGCAACACTCAAAATTTGACATACAGTACTGGGTATTCATGAGAAAAATGGGGGGAAAATGTCCCAATAATCATTCACAAATTCAGATTTGAGGAAAATATTCCACAGAGCATAAAGCTATGTAAAGGCTGAGAGGACATAGAGGAAAGTTAGCACTTTGGAGCCTGAAGCATGAATACTGTTATAGAAGTAGCAAACTTTTAGAGACTCAATATAATGAAAAAAGCAAGAACCCTTATCCAAAGAGACACTCTGGGTAAGTCATACATTACAAACATATGAGGCACTGTATAGATTTAAGAAACCCACACACTAGGTTAAAATGGGCATACTGTATAGAAAATTCCTTTGTATTGGATAAAGCAACTGGTATTGGACTTGGGTTGTAACTTGCTCATAAACCCTAGTTTGACTGGGCACATACCATACAAGTAGCCCTTTGTGGAGCATTATTTATTGATCCAGTAGAACAAGTGTCCTTGCCTCTAGATTGCAGATAGCATCCTAGACTTATATAGCCTATAAGAGAAGTTTCCATGGGAGAAACTACATTCTCTTTAGTTCTACAGTACTATGGCTGACTGAAACTTGCTACCTATTTGTGATTAAACAATGAAATTGTTCAGTAAATTTCATTATGGTTTTCGATTTAAGAATTAGTGTTATTAATTACATGAGGATACAGTAAAACCTCTCCAATTAAAACAATTACGGTACTGTACTGTGCAGTAGCTCCAAGTTGTTGATGATTCAGTTTATTCAAATTGTTTTGTAAATTATTAAACCACAATTTAAGGACCCTGAATCTACAGTAATTGTGTTCATATTTTGTACATGCAGTACAATACTACGAAGTCCATGTATAGAAGAATTTACTGTGTGGTACATACTGGACAATAATTTTTTTTTATTCTGTAAGT